ATTTAAAAAAAACATACAATTTGCCTTAAAATGCAATGCTTTGACATGCAATGCTTCAATGTACAGCAAAACCTCTATAATTTGTATTACATGAATATTACCTGAAGTACATGCAACATCACAATAGCGTTGTGTCATTATGTAATATATATCCCCAAGGTTGGCAACTAAATACAAATTTAAAACTGTATACACAAACTTAATGACGAAAAAACTCGTACATAAACATCGAGATTCATTAAAAAACTAACTCACTATGGTAAGAAATAACTGTAATTCTTCTACATTGTGTTTTTTTCTTCTCTCATCACTTTTAAACGAGTTAATTTTGCGAAAATTCCGAGGAAAATTCATCAAATTCGTAACTCAATTTGATCAAAACTATGCGGGATGACTGCTCCCGGCGTTACGTCACAAAATAAAGCTGTCTGATTCGCTGGGAAATTTCAGCCAGCCAATCGGAGAGTTTTTTTGAAATTTTAAACATTTTCAGCAAATCAGAGAGCTTTATTTTGTGACGTAACACCGGGAGCAGTCATCCCGCATAGTTTTGACCAGATTGAGCCATTTTCCTCGGAATTTTCGCAAAATTAACTCGTTTAAAAGTGACGAGAGAACAAAAAAACACAGTGTAGAAGAATTACAGTTATTTCTTACCATAGTGAGTTAGTTTTTTTAATGAATTTCGATGTTTATGTACGAGTTTTTTCGTCATTAAGTTTGTGTATACAGTTTTAAATTTGTATTTAGTTGCCAACCTTGGGGATATATATTACATAATGACACAACGCTATTGTGATGTTGCACGTACTTTATGTAATACAAATTATAGAGGTTTTGCTGTACATTGAAGCATTGCATGTCAAAGCATTGCATTTTAAGGCAAATTGTATGATTTTTTTTTTAAATAAAAGACCTTTTCGGGAGATCTATGTTTCTACTTGGGATCTGGTGAGGTCGGTTTATATATATGTACATCTCAATAATTTTAACTAGGAGAAACCGTCCTTATAACTAGAATAAACCGTCCTTGCAACTAGGATAATAAAAACGTCCTTATATTATGACAAACCATCCTCATATAGGCCTAACAAGAAAAACCACGTCTTTGTACTGGGTGTAATTTTTTGTAGTTGAATACATGTTGTTCGTACGGCTGGCATGATACAAAGTATCAATTATAGCTATAGAACTGTGTTAAGACTTGTGCACAGGAAAATAGGTGAAATGCAGCAAACAGTGCGCATTATGAATTGTGACTCGTGTGTATAAAGTAGCAGTACGATAAGGCTGTATTACAGCTGTTATAACATATCTAGCCTAAGATATTCCAAAATAGTTCCCACCTGAGCGAATAGCGGGATGCAACACAAGTTCGCATACAAGCAAGGTGAATGAGTGGAGAGTTGTATCCAACCACATCTATTAATCTAAATATGCAGTTAATTACATGTCTTGTTTGTATGGTATTAAATTAAACAAAGTAGCAATAGCATGCAACTGGAGATAATAGGATAGCACATAACCTTGAGTAGGCGCGAATGCATAGCGTACTAATACAATACAAATTGTGACTCATGTTGGACAGCAGAAGAGCAAGATAAAGTTATATATTAATAGTGTAATAGCAGTAAATTCAAGAATGTTATATTAGAGAAGTATATAAACAATATGGAACGAACTCACTCCGTTTGGGGTCACAGAACGTGGATTGCAAACGGCAACACTCTACAATCATGGACCAATTCATTGGGACAATGATGCATCAAACGAATAGTTTGCAATGTCGTTTTGCTGACGGCAGTTTTACGCCCCCCCTCCCCTCCCATCACTCAATGTTGTGTGTTGTGGAACGATGATGGGTTTCGCCCAACTCAGTTTTGTTGTCAACATTGATCGGTGGGGGGAGGGGAGGGCTGAAAATGAGGCTATGTATGGGGTAGACGTGTTTTATATGGGCGTGAACTTTGTCCCAATGAAATTATTCGACGATTGTCTGAAATTAGCTTTTTTTATAAATTGGCCTTTTTATGTGAATTTAAGAACTTTGTCCGTGTGGAAAATGATTGAATTAAATCTTATGCTAATTAAAGTAGTTTTTATTTAAAGTGGCTCTACTGTAATGTCATACTCGATTGCTTTAATTATTGCGTGGTTAAGAAAATAAGCGATTTTAAAAGGGCGTATGCCCTTTTTCTGAGAGGAAAAGGAAAATATTCTTTTAGACAGGTTGCTGCAAAATGTGGAATTTTGAAATCATCAGCTCAGCGCATATGGCATAAAGGCTTAACCACTGAAAAGTCCACGAAAACTTCAAACGGCACCGCAAAGCGTAAGACAGGACCGAAAGCAAGACTTACAACGAGAGATAAACGCTTGCTGCTGAGAACGTTGGTTAGGATGCGAAAAACAAATTGTAACGTCACTGTTATGTCTTTGGTTAAATAAGCTGGGTTAGATCTGTCGCTCATGCATCGTAGAATGTTCACCAGATATCTTAATTCGATGGGTTTCAGTTTTCTTCAAGCGCGAAAGAAAGGCCTCCTGTCGGAAAATGATAAAGTGGTTTGGGTGAAGTACATGTGATCTATGAGAAAGTGTCTTAAAAGGTACCCAAACTTTTATACAGATCATATTGCCTTTTATTTGGACGGAGTGTCTTTTATTCATAAATATAATCCAATGAAGGACGCTTGTCAAACAACTGCACGCGTGTGGCGAAAGCGAGGAGAGGGATTTGCTTTCACAGCTACAGGAAGTAAAGACCTGGCAGGGGGTCGTCGTTTTCATCTCATTGTCACTATAGCCAAAGGAAAGGGCATAATTCTAAAAGAGCCTTACGAAAAAATGACTGGAGATTTTTTCACTGGATTTATACGACAATATTTTAACATAACGTATGCGAGGGCCGGCCCAAAGTTTAACTCGAGTAGACTTTTTGTTATGGACAATGATCCTAGCCAGACGAGCAAGAAATCCATGCAAGCCTTGAGTGACATTGAAGCCCAACTACATAATATTCCACCCCGTTCACCAGATCTAAACCCGATCGAAAATTTTTTCATCTATTAAAGAAACGTTTACGCCAACAAGCGTTAGACATGCGAATAGACAAGGAATCTTTTGAGAATTTCAAAGAACGGGTTTTATGCTGCTGTAACGACATTGGCACTGAAAGAATTGACAAAACTATTGCAAGTCTACCGAAACGAATCAACGCAGTTATAGAACAGAATGGGTCCAGAACAAAATATTAACTTTCACTTATAAACTTAATAACTATATACATTCGCTATTATGCTAATGAGATCAGTATATGTCAGGTACTAAATATATACACTCAAATTGCACTATATACATTCAGTACTCCACACGTGTAGTGAAATTTTATCAATAAAACGTTTTTAAAAGCAAATTTTTGTCTTTCTGTCCTTTAGTGCAGTTAACGTTTCACAATACAAAAGCATTCTTGTTGCGATAAATATTACTTTAGCAGACTTATAAACAGTACTCCATGTGTGTCTTAAAATATTTTAAAGACTTTTATATACTAAGATAAGCACTTACATGAAGTACTGTTTTGGTTTCCTTTGATAACAAACCAGCAGCTGTAGCTATTACAGTTTTGTACCTTAATTATTGTCATGCAACATTATAAGCAACAAATAATGTGAAAAAACGGATATTTTTCCGACAACAACAACAGGTATGTGGAGTAATGTGGTAGACAACTATTGCACTCACCGTCTCGTATATCTTTATAGTCTATAATTAAACATGCAAAACATGAAGGACAGGGGGGTTGACGCACTTGCTCATCCTGGGGTATTCGTTTGTGGAAATTAAAAAACAGCCATCTCACGTGCATCATTTCGGTGTTTGCGTGATCTAGAAACCCGCCTTTAACCAGTACTAATGGCGCATCAGCAGTAGTGAAAACAGGTGTGTCTTTCGTGAACTCGATGTCCTTTCGGTTAAACGTTTTTGGAGCAGATAAGTGAACAGTATCACCCTCTAGTAGTTGTAGCAAATCTCCCCATGCAATTATCGAAGGATGCCAGCGAAAGTCATTGAGAACTATCACCTCAGCCTCTTCAACTCCTAACCAGGCAAATGACCCCGTTGCTGGATTTGTAAAGCACTTGAAGATAAGTTTCAGCGGTGTTAATATGAATGTTTTGCCAGTATTTGCCGGACCGTGGATGTATATGTTGCGATACTACGCACGACCCAAGTACAATGCGTTGTATACAGATGCACAGAAAGTAGACAAAGAGATTTCGTTCTGGGAAAGTAGACCAAGGGCACACTCTAGCCATTTGCCACCGCAATCTGCAACACACAGGCCATTGTAGGCTTCACATAACACGTCCACCCGGGTTTTCTGCAGTCTTGCCAATTTAGTCAATGCTTCCTGAAACTCCAAGGCCAGAGCCAATGCTTCCTCGACTACCTTGAAGCCTCTATTTGCGATAAACTCTGCCAAAACAGTTTTTCCCACTTCTTTCTGCTTGACAGCCAATGAAATAAGCTCCAACCTACTTTTTATCCCGTGCTCACGAATTATCTCAACCACATCAAATGTACAGTATTTCTCCCTTTTCTTTTTGGCCAACTTTCTGCTTGTTGCTTTAACAGCTGCTTTCCTCGCTGCTATCGCCTTTTCTGTATGTGGGGGGGGGGGATCTTTCAGATTTGGGTGACATGATGAAACAACAAAGTTAGCATCCTCTTTAGTCACATGTTTAAATGCGCTGTAGTAGGTGTTGTGATTTGAGCTAAAATTTATGTGAATATTAAAGGTTGACTGCAAGTGCGACCTGACCCTGGACCACCTTGCCCGTGTTGTCAACTTAACCGCCATGTGAAAGTGTGTTGGAAATTCTGACGTTTCTTCATTATCATGTTTCTCTTCACTCACAAACCCAATACTCTACTCTTGCTACACACAGTTGCTCAAATGCGTTCACAATAATAGCGCCAAATGCTTCCCTACTTGGAACTTTTTGAGGATCGGCGCAGCTATAAGTTATTAGATAGACCAAATGCTGTTGTCTGCTTCTCAAATTGGCCATCGTTTATACACATATTATTATTATACAAACCATCAACAAAACGTTTAAGTATGCATAAGAATTAGGTTTTGTATTTATATGAGGTCATTCATCTATTTTTATACTAAAAATTAACAATGCCAAGGTTAGACACCCATAAAAACAATCCAATGACCATTCAGACAATCATGGACCAATTCATTGGGACAATGATGCATCAAACGAATAGTTTGCGATGTCGTTTTGCTGACGGCAGTTTTACACCCCCCCCCCACTCAATGTTGTGTATTGTGGAACAATGATGGGTTTCGCCCAACTCAGTTTTGTTGTCAACATTGATCGGTGGGGGGAGGGGAGGGCTGAAAATGAGACTATGTATGGGGTAGACGTGTTTTTATATGGGCGTGAACTTTGTCCCAATGAAATTATTCGACGATTGTAGTTCTGGAACGCTGCGTGCATGGGATCTTGTGCGTCTCAGGGAAACTGCGTCGTCCTTGGACTTGTGATCTTGCGCATTGCTTTTGCCATTTGTTCCAAGATTGGTCTGTTTTTTTCTTTGCCAAGGTTTGGTCCCTTAAATTATTAGCCAAAAATTTTGCCAGAGATGTTAACGCACTGGCTAAAGTCTTGCGAATGAGCAGTGCACGTCGACACTGCGATCAAAAGTCCTTGCGTAAAGAGGGGGGCCATTGTACGTATGTACGTGAAGGAAAAAACCTTCAGGATAATTTCTGATTGGTTAATCCCAAGTTTGCATCAGTTGTTCACATGCTAGCAGCCAAAGTTAGATATTTATCAGATATTTTGTAATATTAACAGGGCTAGAAAACGGTTCCCTTGTTCTGCCAAGGTACTTGGACCTTGTACGTACCTGGTACGGATTAATTGTTGTGATGCAGATGTGTTGGCAGACTGAAAACACCCTCGGGCAGATACAGCCTTCAGAACATATTACTCCATTAACCGCAATTTATAGCTTTGCTTAAATTGATTATATAACGGAACATCAATCTAAATTGTACAGGCTTCATAACTTAACCATATATGATAATCAAGTAACTAGTCGTTAATCTCACAAAACTTAGCCATATAAGGTAATTGAGTAACAACCGTGTGACACCCACACACATCTCTATATGGTAAACGACCTAAATTTAATCTACAGACAATTTTTTCAACATTTATTCATCACAATGTGCTCACTGCAACAACAAGATTTTCTGACATTCTTGGACTATCATGGTACGACTGTGGCAGACCCGATGGTGTACAATTATATGCTTATGTTCACAGACTTCTACAAATGCAAAAACGATACAAACCTAAATTACGAGCTAGCATTCATATGATGGAACCAGCAGAACACACAAACTCAATCATCCACAGCCGTCATTCCATACACAACCAAAACATTGCCTGATGAAACCAACTGCATGAAATTCCAATACACCCCAACACCGAAAACAACAACAATGGAAGTGGATGCACAAGCTGCCCAAGCCGCCGATCAGCTGATATCTAATTACCTTGGGCCAAATGATCTTATCGAAGAGTTACCTGACCTCTTCAGCGAAGCAATTCCCCCACCGCCACCACCCCCACCCCCACCACC